TCCAAGCCCACCACTGAAGCACCACATCTACATGTTTTCATTAACTTAAGAGATGGTGACTCCACCATTTCCCTGGGCAGCCTGTTCCAATTCTTGAGAACCCCTTTGAAGAAGAAATCTTTCCCTAATATCCAATCTAAAGCTCTCCTGGTGCCATATCAAGCCATTTCCTCTTGTCCTGTCACTTGTTTCTTCGGAGAAGACATTGACCCCCACCTGGCTACACCCTCAAAGGCCCCCAAGCCTTGTTTTCCAGGCTAAATACTCTCAGCTCCCTCAGCCACTCCACACAGGACTTGTGCTCAAGACCCTTCCCCAACTCTACTGCCCTTCTCTGGACATGCCCCAGCACGTCAATGTCTTTCCTGAACTGAGGCCCAGAAATGGACACAGCACTTGAGGTGTGGCCTCACCAGTGCCCTGAACAGGGAGAACAGCCTGCTGGGACTATCCCTGCTCCTACTAGCCACACCATTTTTGGTGCAGGCCAGGATACCTTCCTCTGGGCAAAGCTGGCTTGCGTTCAGCTGCTGTCAAACAGTGCCCTGAGGTCCTTTTCTGATGAGCACCTTTCCAGACACTCTTCCCCCAGCATGTAGTTCTGCCTAGGGTTATTGCAAAGGCAGGACTCAGCACGCAGCCTTGAGGTTTTCATTCAATTAATCTAAGACCATTCATCCAGCCTGTCTAGGTCTCTGCAGGACTTCCTACCCTCCAGAACATTGACATTCCTGCCCAATGTAGTGTTATCTGTAAACTTAGTGAGGCTACACTCAACGCCCTGGTCCACATCACAGATAACACCAGCTGCCAGAGGGATGTAACCCTATTCACCTCCACTCTCTGGGCCCAAGCACACAGCCAGCTTTTTACCCAGTGACAAGTGCACCATTCCAACCCATGAACAGCCAGTTTCTCCAGCAGAATGCTGGGGGAAATGGCATCAAAGCCATGCCTAAAGCCCAGGCAGACAACATTCCAGTTCTTCTCTCATCCACTAATGTTACTTTGTCAAAGAAGGAGACCATGTGGGCTTAGCAGGACTTGCCTTTTGTAAACCTGTGTTGGCTGGGCCCAATCCCCTGCTCATTGTGTATGTGACTGCCACATAATGGCAATTAAAATTATTTGTTCTACGACCTTCCCCAACACTGAGGTCAGGCTGACAGGCCTGTTGGTTCCCTGGATCTTCCTTCCAGCCTTCTTGCAGATGAGTACCATGTTGACTTGTATTTGGTCTGGCTAGGATGGGTTCTTTTCCCCACAGCAGCCCTCACCTTGCTGTGCTGTGTGTCAGTGACTGATGAGGTGCTGGTAACAGAGTGGCGCTTTGGCTACCTCTGAGCAGCCCTGGCCCAGCATCAGCACCGTCCCCCCAAGACCCACCACCAGCAGGCTGGGGCTGGGAGAACCTGGCGGGGACATGAACAGGACAACTGACCCAAACTGACCAAAAGAATATTCCATACTACACAAACTCTGCTCTGCTATAAAGCTGAAAGGCCAGGGAATCCTTTAGAGTCCAAGGTGGCAGGTGTTCTGATCCACCTCCTCACTTCTCTGAGAATCAAAAGCTCTATCATTTTGTGATCTCTGTGCCAAAGACAGCCTCCAACCACATCACAGCAGCCTTTCTTTGTATACAACTCCACTGGAGTACCTGGACCCAAACACCACTGAAAGCCAAAAGCCTGCTCTTCCTGGGTAGTATCTCTGCTTTCTTTTCATAGTGCCAAGTAACTTAAACTTAACATCTTCATAATCAACTGTGACCAAGACAGCCACCAATCTTCACTCATCAGACTATCTTTAGTTGCAAACAACAGAGCTAGGAATGGACCTTTATCAAAAGCTACCTTCTATGTACTTCAGGACCTTGACAGGCTTTTGGAATGCTCCCATGCAAACTTTCTGAAGCACAGCAAGGACAAATTCAAGATCCTGCAGTTGGTCCAGGGTAACCCCCACTCTAAGTACAGACTGGTGGATAAAGGGTTTGACAACAGAGAAGAACTTGCTGATACTGATGAATGAAGAATTAGACATGACACAGCAGTGAACACTCACAGTCCAGAAAGCCTACCGCATCCTGGGCTGCATCCAAAGCACGATGGGCAGCAGGGCCAGGGAGGGGTTTCTGCCCCTCTGCTCTGCTGAGATCCCACTGCAGTGCTATGTCCAGCTCTGGGGTCCCCAGCATGAAAAACACTTGCAACCTGTCAGAGAAGGTCCAGAGAAGACAACAAAAATGTTGAGAGGATGAGAACACCCCCCCCTATGAAGAAAGACTGAATATTGGGGTTTTTCAACCTGGAGAAAAGATGATTCTGGCAATACATTATTCTGGACTTTCAATACTTGCAGTGTAAAACATGGAGACTTTTTACCATGGTCTGTGAAAGAATAAGAAATGACAGATTAAACTGAAAGAGAGTAGATTTAGATCAGATGTAAGGAAGACTTTTTTTTCCAGGGGGGTGGTGAGACAGGGAACTGGAACAAGTTGCCTCAAGAAGTTGTGGACACCCCATCCTTGGAAACACTCAGAAATCAGGCTGGATGGGGCATTGAGCAACCTGATCCTGAACCAGATTCACATTAAGAGGGGGAAGTGGTGTTTTGTTTGGACTCTTCTAATCCAAAATACATTTTTCTCATGTATTTCCTAGACCTCCTTAGGCCTTTTTTTAGGTGGCAGAGAAAGCATAAACTTTAATCCATGAGTAGATTTCAAATGTGTGCATTGAACTCCACTGGTGTTATCAGGTCTATTAAGGCACAGAACAGTAACTTCTGTTAAGTAAGCAAACATAACTGTAAGTCAAGATAGTATCATAGGAATCATGTTTTCAAATTCCTTGCCATCCAGAGTTACAATTGTTCAGCACATGCTAAAACATTATTTCATCAAATACTGTAGGAAAGGGGGAAAAAGGCAAATTTTAAAAAACTATCTTTATTTTTTTTTTCTTACATTTAAACAGGGATGTATTTCAGTTTCAGACATCCAGCCATTATTTACTTCGTTACTGTAGACAGGAAGAAAAAGTATATAAATGCAAATTATATTGGCATACCTACATTAGTGCCGATTGCTTTACTAGCAGAAAACTTTCTTCTGCATTAAAATCAAGCACTTAAAAATAATGCTGAAAAGCAAGTGCTTTGCCAGCCATTTCAGCAAATAAACAGCTTTTATATATTCAACCACTGTAAATCCGTAATATTCACACTGCCTTTTTATGGAGATCATACAAACACTGTAGAGATCAAAAACCTCCAAGAATAAAACTCATCAGGTGTGTGAGAAATACACATACCACATATACAAGCAACAGATTTGGTCAAGTACTACAAAGAAGGATGTGTTTTCATAAAAGAATGGTCAAGTGACCTACTTCTCAGCTCAAACGAAAAGAAAGAAGCAACCTCATGAGTCTGAAATAATCAGTAACATGCTCTGGTGGAGTGGAAACTTATGACCTGTTACACAGTGTGTTTTTGTAAGCCAAGTCCAGGTTTTCTAAAACAAAAATTTAAAAGCATGAACAGTAATAATGACAAATTATACAAAAGTATACATATGAGCACATAATCCAAACAATAAAATACACTTTTGGCTCTTAGTGAAAAATAAATTACAAAATAAAATTCAAATCCTTGTAAATGTAATGATTAATTCAAAGGTGTACCTTTGCTTTTATATACATTTTAAATGCTAACACAAAACAGATTAAAAATAAATAAGTATGCAAAAAAACATTTGTGGACAGAAAAAAGACATTACTTAGGCTCTAGAAGAATTCTAGAAAAATAGAGATAATCTGTGTTCTGGTCAATAAATCTGTCTAGTCACTTTCATCCTCCACAGCCCTTCTTCAATAACTGGCAGTTAAACATGACAAAGCCACAACTATGTCATTATGGCTTTAAAAGAAGCATGTATTTCCTGAAGAATTAAAAAATATAAAATGGGCCGTCTTGCCTACAGGACTGTTGGTTTGTCCATATTGCAAGCATTTCACTGGACTGTAGAGAAGCATCTGACACATCCTTGCCATGTTGATACTAGTGACCTTACAGTGCCAGATAAGAAAATTCAAGGAAAAAAATGGCAGGAAATTTGGGATGCTCTGGGCTAGTATGCAGTGAAGGGAGAAGTCTAACTCACTTCTATTTCATTTGTTTTCTAAATTAAAGAACAAAATAATGCATCTCTAACTTTACATGGCACGTCCATATTTTCAAGTTAAAGATACTGTCAATCAACAACTACCTTAGTGAACATACAGGCTTTAATATTTACTCTGCTTCAACCAGATGCAATATTTGCTCTGTAGAACTCTTTTGAAGGTAATTTGATCTTGTTAACATTACCAGATGTACAACTTAAATTATACAAACATTTGTATTCTTTGTACAAACACTTATAATCTCTACTGTACTGAAATTTTCTATGTAGGCAAAACAAAAGCAGGTTTTCAAACCAAGAGGATACTAGAAATACTTTCTATTAGTAGCACCAGCATTTTGACAACTGTCAACAGTTAAATCAGCATCCCCAGTTTCTCTAGACAGTGACAATTTGACTAGAGTAACAATTTGACTAGCAAGTAATACTAAGGCAAAAGAAGAAAAACAATGCAAGTATCATAAAATAAATCTTAATATTTTATTATTTCGCAATATGGTTGTGTACCTGTATTTTTCTTCTTCATTTTTGAAGAAAACTGCTTTAGATACACTGCTACAAACTCAAATAGCTCATCTATGACATCCGTCTTCATCTAAGACACTGCTACTACTTCCTAGGAAAGAAGAAACACTTCTCAAGTTCAGTTTTGCTCAAGATACTGTTCATTTTATATCATTTCATTGGTCCATATGTTGATGGTCAAAGAAGCATTCTTATTTGATAATATCGTAAAGCTTTCAGAACAGATGAATTAAAGAAACAGAAGATGGATGCAGAAGAACCAAATCAAAGCACAGAGACATGATACTGTTTCTTAGAGAGTCCTTGGAAAATGTGTTTATTATGGAGGTTTTTGCTTTGGGTTTTGTTGTTGGGTTTAAGATCACAAGACAACAGTCGAACAAATAAACATTTTCCCATGTTCTGTTTGGCTCTAGTCATTTGTTGCGCTGGATGGTTTTCCTTTTCCTCCGCTTGAATAAGCAGCAGCACCTGCAAGTGTGACAAGAATTACACATGATATAAAAAGAAACCACAAAACTAAACTATTTACTGTATGTCTCATTTGAAGTATGTACCTCAGGTATAGCCAGCACCATAAGGAATACATTTAGCTCTATTACAGGAAATTAATTTATTAGAGAAAAAACTGAAGTAGAGATACTTTTGACGTTTCACCTTTTTTTTTGGAAAAAAGTATCAAACTAAAAAAGGTATAATGCAAGTAGCTATTAAGTTTAGAGTATTGATGAGTGTATCAAAAGCACAGGTATTATAGGCTGACTTAAAAATACATTTGTAAGAATAAAGAATATTCCATTATCTGAGTACTTGTTCATATTAATGGCAATATGCCAAACAGAAGTTTGTGCTTATGACTGTGTCACCTAAACTATGTACTTAAGACACTATTGTTGCTAAAACAAGAAAACAATTCCAGCTTCCTCTGTCAACCTTTTCCAGAACTTGGAAAACCTTTCTCCAAGGCTATTCCACAACACATTTTAGAAGAAAATGTTAATGAACAATATAATTAATGTTCTGATCCAGTGCTGTGATAATACTACAGTGAAAAATCACAGCTTAAATACAAAGAACGCTATGTATATAATACATAAAGATTCTCTCTTCTGCTTTATTGCATACTACATGAATGAAACTAAAACTGACAAACACTGTGAATTTCATTTAGCAAATAGAGATAATCTGGAAGTACCTGAAAGAACACTACAAAATGAAAAAGAGTGGAGGGAGTTACATATAGATAATATACAGAAGGACTACAGAAGTCCAGAAAGTACTTTTGAAAAATAAACTGAAGAGGAAAGCAACAAATAACACACACACACAAAAATCATTAAAATTTTACTGTTAGGCTTATTTTAAGTCTAACATGCCTAACTCCCTGAACACCTTCTTTAAAAATAAAGCTTCACACTAAAGCATTTACAATGTGTGTGACCAAAACTGAGCATGCAAGCTGTCTACTCTAACAGAGTTTGTCCCATGGAGTTCCGTAGTTTGGTTATTGAGTTCTCACTTGCAGCACTATACACTGAAGAATCTTAAACTATGAATTACAGCAGCAGTGAAAATATAAATATACTGCATCAATAGCCTTGATCAGTAAATCCTTAAGTTCACCAAGCATTTTACATCACTAAAATTCAAAGGAATCCAGATGATTTAGTTTGGAATACGGGAAATGGGGAAAGCATTTAAAAACCAGGGAGAGTAAGGGTCTAAAAATAAGGTTCTACAGGGGGTGAGAACAACATCCAAAGTAAGGGGAGACAGCAGTTACCTTCTCAAAATATCCAAGGCACCCTGTTGCTCAGTCACTGAAAAAGTAGCAGTGGGCAGAGGCAGACCAGAACTGCTCTGAGAGTTACATAACTTTCAGTAGAAAAAAACATTGGTTATTGCTGAAGAGGAAGCCCAAAATTAAAATGCAGTAGGGGAAGCTACATAGATAAGTATTTTTACAGCTAGCAGAAATATCATGCTGTATTTATTAAAGTACTTCTTAAAGAAGAGATATAATTGGTTTTGAAGGGTAGTAGCCACTGACTGTAACTGTAATTCCCCCATAACTACTAACTAAGCCTTTTCTTAGCATCTGCCTATAACCACTAACATCCATTGTCAATTAGCTCTGAATTTACTTGTGGATCCATGAACTCCAGTTTAGTTTAATTATTTTTTTCACTCCAAGTATTTTATATATGTATATATATATATGTATCAAAGCAAAGTAGTGCTCCTTCCTTTCAACATGTATTATCATTATCCTATGATTCAGTAGATGAGGAAATCCTACTCTCAACTGTGATGGTAAATCACTTTTATACTTGTTCAAGATTAGCGTGCCTTAGGAAAAACCCACAGAAACCCATGATTTATAAGACTAGCATATAAAGAACCCAGGTTACATAAGTAACTGTAAGAAGATGGAAATACAGCAGACAGCTAATTTATATTCTAGAACTCTTTTGCTCATATGGATCACAACCCAAGTAGATCAGACTTCTTAGATGTTTAGGACTAGTTGGATCCTCTTTGCTATTTAAGGACACTTTAGGCTTTCTTCTTTCTTTATTAGAAGATTTTAACTCATCCTTGCTGCAGATCTCATACTGTTTTTCATTCCTTCTGCATAGCCTATTTAGTTTGCTACTTCTCTGTCAACCAGAAAAAAGTGCACTGTCCGTGCAATGGAGAATTCAAGAGTTCTATTTTTCACCAACATAATGCCCTGTTTTTTTAATCCTCTAGTCTTCTGGAGTTTGCATAATCCTACTACAATGAGTATAACTTCTATTAACAGTTCTTTTGTTTGGGGTTTTTTAATTATAAAAATCACTCAATGTATTTCAATTCAAGGAGAAATCACTAAATGATGAAAACTTTTATTTGATGGGGAAAAAGAAAGATCTTATTAATATATAACATATCTAAAAAGGACTAAAGGAATGCAAATTCCATGATGAATTGCAAATCATAAGACTGTTTTGGAAATCTGAACTCAAGTACACTGAAAAAACTATGTATTTTTAAATCTAGAAGTGTTAGACTTCAAATTGGCTTCCAAGGCCAAATAAATGTAATTTTAAAATATATGCACCTTTAAATGGGATTATGAGAGATCACACAGTATCAGCTGACAATGAATTTCATGAAAGAAACATAACCCTGAGTAAGAGATTCACAGTGCATAATCTCTCAGTGAGTGTTATTCGTAACAGAAATTTAGACTTGTTCTTAAGCATACTGTCACTAGAGGGTGTTATTGTCACTTATACATAATACAGATACTAGACTGCTTAGATGCATTATTAAGGATTATTAAACCAAAAATTTATTATACTATACAATATGCATGCAAAATACAGAAAAGGTAAGTTTTAAAAATTTCTGCTTCTAGAAAATATTTTTTTTAAATAAGGCCTTTAATGACTGCTAACTTTTATCTGCCGTTTATGTAACATTTTAGAGTAGGCAGTATAATAGCAATCTATAAAATGCAAAAATCATTGCACTTTTCCTGTACAATGTAAAGTGATACCTTTGAGGTAATATCTGAGGCAGCAATCTAAGCATTATGTTTTTGAACACTTTTTGTCCTTCTTAAGACATTATCATATCTTTTTTCCTGTTAAATACTCTTCCTTTCATTTAAACAGTGACTTGGGCCAAAATTCAAAAGCAACTTAATTTGTCATTTGTGATGAGATAGTTGTGTTTTTATATTTACCATAAAGCATGTGCCAGGCACTTTACTGTAGTGTTAATAACAAGTGTTTAAAGTGGCAAAAATGCAAGATGCAAAAAGAACAGATCATATAGTCACTTCCTGTCTGCCCTTCTCTGCCTTCCCACTGAAGAGCTTTTTGGTTATCCAAAAATGCTTCATAGGTTATGCAAACATGCTTCATAGAAGTAACTGTTCTGATGGCTAGCAGTAAAGAGAAGTTAATTGCTCAGTGATAAATGAAAGAGCACCTGTAGAAGATTGTAGATAGATCTGTAGATCACCAAGTGTCAGGGCAGCACAGTGATAAGGTTAGTTTTCTCCTTGCTTTACAACATCAGTAAGCAACAAATGAAATAGGGAGAAAGCTTTTCTAAAATCCCAAACAATCAAAAATAACCAAACCAACAACCCCCCTTGCCATAACACTCACAAATAAAAATACAAACCCAGCAAAATTCCCAAAACACAACACCCACTGCTAGGTCATGCCAGCTGCACAACCACCATGAAAATGACACAACATAAGATTAAGAAGATATACTGCATGTCAGTACATAAATATTTATCGAAAAATGAAATGTTTGGTTAAATGTTGGTTAGAACTCCCAAAACAATAAAATCCTTACTGAATAAAAAAACCCCAAACTTATCCTTTCTTATTTACAGGATTGCACTGAAATGGTAGCAGAAGTTCTAATATTCAGCTAAATGACTGTTGTCTTCCCAGTTAAAATCATACATAATGGGGGCAATCCCACATAAGGGGCATCCTTTTTTAAATCTTTTGGATGAGGATATAGGCATGCTAAGCTTCTAAAACTAAGAAGACATCTAGAAAAAAGAATGAAGCATTTCTAAATAAGATTCAAGTTTGTCTTTTGAGAGAATGAGGAAATGTTACAAATGGAAGATATGAGCAAGACAGGTTAACTTTGTTCATACTTTTAGGTGGAGAAAAGATTATGAAAGAGGCACAAAGTGAGAGTCTTTTGAGAAAACCGTGTCTCCTTAAAACCAAAAATATCCATGTCACAGACATGAAAAATACTAATAATCCCATTCCCCTTAACCTATTCCACAGTGTAAAATCTATAAACAAATGTTTGCCTCACAACCCCTTTTGATATTAGGTTTGTAACTGCCATGTTAAAATGTAAAATTATCTAAATCTTCTGAAGTGCTCTTTCTGAAAAAATATATGTACCTATGCATTGGTGTTTGATAGCAAAGCTGGAGAGGGGGTGAGGTTGAGTGGGTGGGCATGTATGTTAAAATATAAAACAACTTCAAAATATAAAAAACTACCCCCAAAAAACCTCTAGTCACCGAGGAAACTTCAGCTTAAACACATAGTGATGAAACAGTAATTTGAGTGTTACATACCTGAAAAAAATAAAATCAATCTAAAGAGTAGGATACTGAGACTAGTTAATTTTGTCTGTAACAAAACCAGTTAAGAGCAGGCCAAAAAGGTCAAGTGTAGCATATTTGTCCATTATGCATTCATTTTAAAAAAAGTGAACTTCTACACTTCTCAAGCAGCTGAGTATCTTGGTTCCTGAGAATTCTCTTAACTTTCTGCAGATAACTAAGTAGAGAATTAAAAATAGGTTTAATTAACTAATTAAACACTACTAAGCACTACTCAAAGTGCAAGAAATTTAATTGTTTTCTGTGTGTACATGAGTTGAGCATAAGGAAGATTATCACTGTGCTTATTTAAAGAAAGGGGACAGGAAATTTACCTGTGGGCAGCGTATCAATATCCTAGCCCCTCTGGTTTGTTTTTTTGTTTGTTTCAAATATATATATATATATATATATATAAGAGAACTATATTCTTGACAGTAAAATAATACTCTACTCCATAAAAATGACAGCAAAGAATTTAATTTTTCTCTGTGCTCACAGGAAGCCAGTGTAAAAATGTGGTCCTACGGATACCCCCATCCAAAATTATTAATTACACACGCAAATAAAGCTTACCTACCAAAACAAAAACCTGTGGAATGATTGCTTTAAAAAAAATTTCACTATGAGAAATTTCCCTTTTTCCTGAAGTTAGGAAAATGGGTCCTAGAAAAACTGTTGCTAATGAATTGCTCTGCTACTAATGTATCCTTCATACCTGTCTGCCTCTATTTTACGGTAAACTAGATCCATACCCTGGTAAAATCCTATTTCAAGCACAATTACGAAATTCTTGCCACCTTTAGCTATCAAGAATATTTTCCTGCACTATTTTGCAATTATTAAGTTTACTACACAGATATATAAACATGAATTGTCTAGCCCATGTTAACAGGTCTTAATATTTTTCCCTTTCATTACACCATAACTTTGAGGAACCCTGAAGTTACATTTTAGTGATTAGTTAGAAAGTTGTCACAGACTAATACTCTGGTAAACACTCTGTTTACAGAGATAACTGGAAAAGTTCAAACATTTGCTAGAAATTATTCATGTGAGTTATTTTCTAGATGTTAATACACTATCTGAATGCTACAATATTTGAAAAGAATGCTTTCCCCTTTCAAACAGAATAGAAAGTAAGTAAAAAAATTCTAGTACCCATTAAAAAGGTTGACATCACATATAGTACATCACAAACTATACAACTTAAAAGCAAGCAGGATTTGAAGCAGGCAGAACAGCTCCTGAAGGTGGCTCTTTGTAAAGACATTTAATTGCTTCACGGAATTAAAATGCATTTTTGTCATTTCTAAATCAACATTTTATTTTTAAGATTTCTGAAATTAGTTTTAAACCAAATAACAAGAACAAAGCTCCTGGGGCTATTTCTGCCTGCCTGTGCTTTATAACTCACCACATGTTCAACACTTTCTGGCAGCTATACAGAAAGAGAGTAAGGAAAAAAGAGAATCAGAATACAATATAAAGGAAGAAGGTTATGTTTTCTACACATGGCCTTTGGTAGTCAGAACACTACCTTAAAATAAATATTTCAAAATGAGTTGAAATATAAAAAATGCACACACTTCTGTAGCCAGCATAGCAAGACATGTCATTGAAGGCTTAGCCTAAAAAAGCACAAGCTATAGGAACTCTACTATTTGAAAACTTAAAGAGAAAATTAAGTATAGCACTGTAGTTTTGCTCCTCACCGGAGTATTCAATTCAGACAATATTTTCTGAAAAACTATATGAGAAAAATATTGAAGCAGCTGAGCACAAAAGATCCAAAGAGTATAAAAAGAAGGACATACTTTGTTTCATCCATTACTTCTACTTCTGGAGGAGCTGTGATGGGTGCATTTGAACGACCTGCAGTTGGGTCATCTGTGTTCAGCTCTCCATTTGTTGAGCTTACTACCTGAAATCACAAGAAAGACCTGAAATTATACTAGTGACAGACATACATTTTTTAATTCCTAAGATTACAATACAGCTTTAAAAAACAGTTGTTTTTTTTTATTTCCATAGTTATTTTTATTCCAGTAACAGTGTCTTCTCCAGGTTATATTCTGACAGACCTGTGCTCTTGTACTTTTTTCCTTTCATATCTATTAGCAGAACTGACCTCCACATGATGCACTCAGAGTGGATGAAGCAAAACAACCCTCTGGATGCCATTTGCTAATCTCCCCCACATCTCCTCAGACACATAAGGGAAGGCACTAAGCACTTTTCCCATAGCAATTCAGTCAGTCTAGCCCTTCCTGTGCTCCTTCAGGGTATTTATGCTCCTTAGTTTAACTCTTTGTATTCAGAGTGAATATGGAGGCCTGATTCAGCTGTATCTCAAAGAACACTCACCAGAAAAGGGGGAAAAAACTAAGGCTGTCTTCTAAACCTAAGAGTATAGATGGTGTCTGACTTTTAGGACACAAAAATATCTGCTGTCAAAACAATTTATAAAAAATTAGATTAATCTTCATTCCTATTACTTTACCATCAAATTTCTATGTACGTTTTTCAAGTGACCATGAAAGCTGTGGCTCTCTGGGAATATTTGTTTGGACATTAAACCACGTGGAACCCCCAATATTCTCTTTTCTCAGTTCCTGTCAGCTTTCCTGCATGACAAATGGAGCCATTGAGAGGCCCCTCGTTATTCACCCCACAGAATACAAAAAAGGAAGATGATTAACTGGCTGTAGACAAGTGCCTACCTGATCAGAGCTGCCGACAGTGCTAATTGACCCATTAAAGAGTTGACTAACACCATGGAGAGGTCTACTAAGTACCAAGCTAGCAGCAACTGCTCGGCAAGGCAGCAAGCATAAAAATATAATTCTGGACAAACAGTATAAAAATTTGCAGAAAACATCTGTAAACAATTAATCAGCTATAGTGACTAAGAGTAGTCCATAATTCAAGGTTATTACTGTTGTCTGATGGCCAGAGATTAAGGTAGATGAAAGGAGAGGGAAGGAAAATCACCACCATAATATTATTTCCCTCACTCTTCTAAGCTCTCCTCTTATTATAGCAGATATGTCTCATCTATTTATAACCAAAGCTAAGAGCCTAGCCTACTGAGGTTTGTTTTGTGGTTCCTATTGTAAGTAAATACAGTGCTTCAGAAGTTTGCTGCACTCAAGACATTTTCCATGCCCTTTGCCGACACCCAGCTGAGTTTTCTCCTTTTTCAAATTTCACTAACATATGAACCACTGCCAAAAACCCCTGCAGGCTCCTAACAAAATAACAATTGCAGGAATCTAGCTACTTAAATTTTAATTAATATAACTACAGGAATCATGGGAGACTGGACTTTATTCCTGCAATGGTAAGTCAGTGGAGTTTCAACTAGCTGTCTCAAACTTAAGTTTCGTATCACTGGGCATGACAGAAGCACTTCACATAAGTAGGAATTGTACTTTAACGAACCGTAAGATGGTGGGGCAGGCATCCTGAACCAAACATTCTGGATGACTAGTTATTGTTTTTACAAAAACAGAGTTTTACAGAGTCATAGAATATTCTGAGTTGCCATCACTGTACATATTTACTAAGGAAGAGATAGAGTATTATCCCAACCACTTCACCAGGTATCTTGTGGTGGTCATGTCATTGCTCCTTGTAAAATACTCAGAGTGGAAAAGTACATCAGAAGTATTTGCTAACTAAGACAGGAGTCATAAAAATGTAAGGGTAAAAAAAACTTTGTTCAACTTGACACCAAATGAGTTTGGTTCCAAAGGAAACATAGAAGCACCGAATGGTTACAGCTGGAAAGCATCACTGGTAGGGTCATGCCCACATGCCCCTGCGCCTAACAATATAACTAACCACAACTACAGCCTGTACTAATCTATATACAGCAGTGCAGCCCAATTAATACTGCAGTCAAACTTGCCTGCAGCCCAAATAATGCAGGATTTCTGCTCCATAATCTAGATTTAAAAACAACTTTTCTAAAAAGAGCCTCAGATCTATGCTCAAGATTGAGTAAGAGTGGTTGATCAAGACCAGAAGCTTTTGTCTTCAGTTTACCTGAGGTCAATACACTACTATCAGAGTACAATACAATACAAAGCTTTTTGCAGCTTATTCTTCAAACTGACTTCAATCCCAGTTTTCTTGACAGTGGTTTCTATTAGCTGGATAAATCTAATTTTAAAACAGCTTTTTTCCTAAGCTGGTTTATTACTTTGATTGTTTACTTTAAATTTTTATTAAAACTTAAAAATTCTTTAAGAGAATTTGAAATACTTCATTGAAAATTTCACACCACATAGCGAAAGACTGCCCTGCCTTGCTCTGGTCAGTAACAGATAATCTCTGCCTCTCTGACAAATACCAAGGAGAAAGAGACTGTAGTCCTTCCCACACACATACACAGCCATACACATTCACCAAATACACAAGTACTATGAAGTGCAATGGTCTGTTCCATGACTTAGTTTAGGTGGAAGGAACATGATGTTCTTTCTGGAAAGAGTTACAGCCACTGAAAGCAGAAGTGAACCAAAGTGTATGCAGTATAAATCCAAGAAATGGCATCAGTCCTGCTTCTCCAGAACCACAACTACACTGAGTTTCACTCAAATCTCCTACTGCCAAAAGCAGCTCTAGGAGCTCATTAATAAGATGAAGGAAATGAAACTAACAAAGACCGATACAAAGAGTACAAGAGATAGGCAGGAGTGCTTCAACTCCACTGTCGGTAAGGCTTCAGCTGTATGAATTTAACTTCAGTTAAATTACATCAGTAAAGGAGGCTTTAATAAGGCAAATCATTACATTTTTCTCTCCAATTATATGCCAATCAGCTCAAAAATCTGCACAATACAGGGAGGAAGATATGGGAACATAACAGAATTGAGCAAGAATAAGTCACCCAGAGGACATCTTATGCTCTGAAGGAGTGGTACACCAGATTCTGAAGCCAGAACGTATCACAAATGAGGCACAATGAAAACTCATCACATTAGATCCACATAAAAAGCTAAAACTTCAGGAGAGAGAAGCTACATGACACTAAGTTTGTTTTAAGAGAAACTTTCAATTTAATTTCTCTACATGTGACTCAATTTGGAATGGACTTCCCTTAATAAAATCAATAGCCTGATGAAAAAATGGGAGGCACAATTGATCTCTTAGAAGACTTGAATACAATGATAGTGAAAAAATTAGGATATTTAAGTTATGGTTTTGCACCTAAAAATTCTATTACAAAATGTAGATGAACATCCTTCCCTGAACAGTAACATAATTACATTTCAAAAAACAAATATTTTTAAAGTTTCAAATTAGAAATATCACAATATTAAAGATTAACTTAAGCTACTCACCTATTTTCAAGTGGGAGAATAACCACTAAACTGACTCCTAAACTACTTTAAGAATTTTTATAACTTTATCCTGCTTTAAATTTAGTTCCTTCAAATGTAATCAGTTCTTTAAAAGATTTTTAAAAGTTAATATGAAGAGCACCTATATAAAGGAGCATATGCATCACTGGTTATTTCTTGATACTTTCTATGCCATGAGGTAAAGAAACAAAAATTCCACCGACTAGACATTAATGACACGTGAATTGTGGAATAGATTGATTTCTTAGATACATGGTCCTCTGGAAGCTTGAAAAAGGCCACTTGAAACAAGACACAGTTAAGCCTAAATACCAGTCCCCTAAAAGGTAACAGTAAATCTTCAGCCTCTATACTTTGTTTTGCATCAGTACGAAAACTGACCTTTTACTTGCTATGTTCAAAAATGAGTTAGAAAATCTGCCATAAAAAAACAGATTTTGCTAATTTTCATTACTATACTAACAACAAGGAAATGCAAAAATTTAAAACAGACATGGAAAAAAACCCTTTCATTCCATTAAGAATCTCAGTAACTGAATTCTCCACTCAAAATATAAAGCCAGTCTACATCTCTAAGCGATTCATTAGTGATACTATACAATTCTTTATTTTACCTTCAAAAAGTTTTCAGTTAAGACAAAAGAATAAAAGTCATCACAGTAGTGATTTTTAGTTTACAAAAGCTTAGCAAAATTGATTTGTTTCATCTTACACTTTATCATCTTGACTTCTTGAAGGAGAGGAATTTTGCAACTCAAAACTACTTACATCAAATATAAAAATCCTTCAAGCAGTTCCTAAGTACTTTATTGGGAACTTTTTAACCCAATCTTTCAATCTAACCTCCTTTTAAAAAAATTTCACAGTGGGAAAAAAGGAAGAGAAAAGATAAGAGGAAGAAGATCAGTTAGTAAGTGATGAAAAAAGAAGTAATGGAACAGATTAATACAGTCTTTATGAGTGCAGAAGCAGATTACAGCTCATGTAGAGAAAGAAATAATTCAGTGTTGTACAGCTGACATTTTGAGAAGTGAGGCAAACTTATAAAAACAAAGGCACAAAAGTTCTGGAATGAATTGCTGGGAGGTATGAGTTGATCATTAATAAGTCTGCATGAACTAGAAAAATGTACTGTGGTAGGTGGAAGAAAGGATGTCTTCCCTTTACAGCTCAATTTCCTAATACTATCTGAACTTTACTGATTCCATAAAGTAAAATTAGATGTGTCTAAACGCACCAGGATCTTTTGAACACAGGCCTCGGGTCTGGGATAAATTAATACAAAAAATAGAACGGTATCTGTTAATGAACAAACAAAAGTTTGAACCTCGCTAAAAGCATACAAGTGTATGCTAACAAACATATACACCAACATTCAGTCCACTCCATGTTAGTATGCCACAGAAAAAAATCACCAGCAAATTTTAACAATCACCTAAAAAAGAACCTCAGAAATTACATCAGCAGTTTTATTACAGATGACTAACAGGAACTGACCTAAAATCATTCCACTGTCACTTTAAAATATATCAGACAGATTTTCATATCTTGCAGAAAAATTTATAAAACTGATCTCAAAGATGAGCAATGACTTGCTAACACCACAGAAAAAAATAAATACACTTTAATTTCATACCTAAGACTCAACTTTTCATTTGATCAATTTTCTGTGGGACTTTTAGCATTTGTCTCCTTGAATGCAATTAGGAATCCTAAAGTAGCTAGCTAATCAACCAGCTTAACAAATAGCATGATTCAGTTCGTATTCCTGCAACAAAGGGGTATTTGACAACAGCCAGGGGGTATATCACAGCATAATTGGAGATCCTGTGTGATTTTGTAAGTGCCCTTAACAAGGAAGCATGACCACTCCACAACAAAAAGCAATCCAATATGAAAACACCCTGCTGCACAACACTTGATCTTCAAAGACATAAACCATGGCTGAGGTTTTGCACAGTGCTTTTATTCATATGGCAATTGCTTAGCCTCGACAGATCTAAATGATCTGAACTCAGATCAGATTAGTCTGTATCCTGTGAGGAAAGATGACAGAAAAAACACTCCATTAACAGTAAGGAATACTAGTGTTTCTTGTGTTATTTTCCTAGAAAATGTTCTTCACATCTCCAAAGGGTATTTAGCATATTTTACAATGGAAGAAAATATCTTGTAATTGTCACACTTTACCTGACAAAGAATAAAAGGTTTCCTAAGTGCCACAATTGCCAACAGGGTCATGATGACACTTTGAAAGTTTTACCAACTGTAATTTAATAAATTCAATCTGTGTTTTTCTAACCTAAATTATGGGAAAAGAAAGGTTTTTTTAACATTTGTTAATGGGAAGAACAAAACAACTTTTAATTTTTTCTTGATACACTGTAATAATTATCACCTACTAGATATTGTTACGTTACACATGACAGCTGTTTATAAGCAACAAAATTTAGAGAACATTATCACCCTGACAGGACTGAAGCCTTGTTTTCTGTACTCGCAACTTTTCCTTCTTTCTTCAGGCTGTGACCATTTTTTTCCAAATCAGAAAATTCAGAAGAAACATATGTAACTTAGATTGTCATAATCAAAAATGCAGCAGACAATTTTCCACACACAACCCCCACCCAGATAAGGCTTCCCAAAGCTAAATCTTTTTCATTTTGGACTCAAAGCTCAAAATTTCATGTAAACTTCATAGCTGGCATTTTGAATCTTTCAGTATTAATTCCTTACACATTACTCCAACTACTTCACACCTAAATATATTCAAAGAGCTAAAATTTCAAAAATTAATTTTAAGAATTTAAAACAAACCAGGAAAAGAGCTCTTTGAATATGAAATAAACTAATAATATAAAAAAAACTGTTGGTTTCTACACATATTTTCACTGAGATGTGTGAGGTGCTGCCTGGGAACACTTTTCTAGTCAGTAACTTTGATTAAAGGAGTGAAGTGTAAGCGAACAACACTTAACAACATTTTAATTTTATGTTTACTTAAGGAACAAAAAGCATGGCCTGATCAACACTGAATGGTGGATTTTACTTGCTAATACAATGAACACATTTAAAGTCTAAACTTCAGTTGCTTGCACTTAGGTCAGTAAATATTCTGTAAAAAAGACGGTTCAACTGTTCAACTAAGAAACATGCAAGAAAAATTCCATCAACAAAAATTTCCACAATTTCAGCACCTGTTTTGACAACTGAACAGTGAAATAATAAATAATAGCAGCATTCTGGAACATGAATCATGTGGTACATTACAGGAAAGTACTATTATGTAATAAAAAATGACTGATTTAGGTCATGAAAGAAGCAGAAAATACCTGTACAGAGCCACCATGTCTGTCAGATGCCAGGTGAGCCCTCAAATGATGTGGATTGGTTTGCTGTGAGTCCCAAGCTGCCCTATGTTCTGTTGACTATCATTTTCAAATGTATTATGATTTATGCAAAAGAAGAAAAAAATTTAAAAATAAGCAATTTGTACATTAATTGTCATGTATTATTTTTAAAAAACATAGAAGCACTACACACTCAATCCCTATATAGACTGCACTTCCACATTCACCATATCAACATACTTACGCATGCCTTCATATAAATTTTCATACAGAGCTGAAGTAGCTAGATCTCAAAATTCTTAGTAAGAAAAAGAACACTTACACAACTCTTCAATTTTGCTTAGGTAAACTGACACAGCTCTCAATTCCTAACATTGTTACCACCTAAGTTATTAGAGTGGTTTAAAAAAAGTCAAAATGTTATACAGACATGTTAGAACTGAAAGACAGGATACAGTGTATAGAGGAGAGCCAGCGAATAAAGAAGTGTGAGTATGCAGAAAATTGACAACTGATTCACTACATTATATCACAGCTTCAAACTAGCAAGCTTTTAGGAGATATTTATGTATCTCTACAAACATAGACTTCAACAAAGATCTACTTAAATCAAAGTGAAAACAAAAAAAAACAAAACTAGGGTCAATTTTAATTTCAAGTTCTAATAAAAACAGCGCAAATCATTAGACAAAAGACATAGTAATGCTGATAATCTCACATGAGCAGTTTACCTGATTTTTGGATTGTTGCATTCTGTCTCTGTGCTGATATGCTTCTCTGTTTGAAGACATTGCAGGGTCTGAATGCATTGAACCCACTGGAGTAGGCTACAAATATAAATAATATGTAGCAACTGGTAAAAAAAATAAATTTCCAAGTCTCACCAAAAGTTTGTAATTACTGGTTTGTAATAAAAAGTAATGTTGAAAAATTACAGTTTCAAATAACACAAAATTATGAAGAGATGAAAGCAGAAGCTTCACTAGATATTTACTAATACCAACAAGGAAAAAAAGTAAACCATACCTTACAGAATGTACTGAGGTAGCAATTCTAAGTATTATCATACATTTATTTTCTGAAAGACTTTAGGCTGATACTTTCTGCAGTTAGCAGTTACAACATTCTGATGAAACCTGATGAAAGGCTTAAAGCAATTTTTAATGCTAACTGAAAAAAATAATTTGCAAAAAAATAAATGCTACAATTCTTTCAGAGTCACAGAGGGAACGGCAGAATGAAGTGTGTAATCTGAAACGGGTCAAATATATAAATATTAGCCCTCCCTTCCCTGTATAATAAAAAGAAGTCAAAAACTTTGAGAAGCTGAAGAAAAGCCCATCCTCTACTATTTCTTAAATCATATAAACAGTGTTTCCTGAAACCTTAGATGCACTGTCATAAAATACGTAATGACCTATGCAATATTTCATCAAAATAACTGATAAATATCTGGAGTATATCTCATATGCAGAAAAGTTATAGTTCTACATTTTAAAAATACTGGGAACAGTAAAAAAAATGCCATAATGACAATTATTTGCAGAATTTTAAGTTCCTTCAACTCAATAAACAACCTGAATTTCTACCACCTCCTTTTGGATTGAGCAGAGATGTACTTTGGTATTAAGAGCACATTTGGAAAGAGACTGAATATGAAGCACTCAAGCCAAAAGATAATGTTAGAACACGCATTTGCAGATAGGCTTGTAATAGCAGCTCTTCATAACTCTATTAGCAGCCTTGAGATGCACTTATCTTATGAAGCCCAAAACTGATCACAGAAAAACCCACGATATTACTAACAGCTGAACTGTACTCACCAACTGTTTGCCAATCCAGTCATACTCATAATCAAACATATAGCCTTTCCGATCAAGTAAGTCTGTGAAGAGCTTTCTTAAGTAGTCGTAGTCTGGCTTTTCAAAAAAATCTAACCTTCTTACGTAACGTAGGTAAGTAGCCATTTCCTCTAGATAAAGAAGAAAAACATATATTTGCCATTATCTGTTTTACTGGAACTCAAAAAATCCCCACCACTTTATTTCATTTTAAAGCAACTTGTACCTCTCACCATAAAACCTGAGCAGTTGCTCACCATGAATCTGTAAATTACCAGAAAGAAAAGTTACTTAATAATGTTCTTTGAGATGCTACCATATTCTGAGAGACACTGTTATACTCCAAACATGTCCTGGCAAGCGACACCCCACTAATTTTTCCTTCACGTTACCTGTTAAGATCTTCTATTGAATGTTCCAATTCTAATGCACAGTGTGCAAAAATGTGTGGAGAGAAATGCCTCTACTTTCTTCTTTCTTTCCAGTCAATTTTACAGAGACAAGACTAAGCAAAGGTAAAGAAAGGGGTATAAAACATAAAGCATCAGCCTCATGTCCACTAGGCCTACTGTGGACAGGATTTATTTTCATTTGTCATGAGCTACTCTCAGCAAATCCACTTTGCCTATCAACGACATTTTGATTACCTTTCAAGGTGTTGAGTTGTATTTTGGAAAAATCATGTTCATACAGGACGTCATACATGTCCCCATGTTGCAAGGGACATGTTACTACAACTACAACTTCTAAAAAACGTCTTATTTCCTTTCTGTCCAATTTTCCAACACCTCATTGATTCTCCTTGTACTCAGAGAGAGCTAGAAGTGAAACCTGAATCTCACAAGTTATTTTAAATACTAGTTCAAGTCTAATCAAGTCTAATGCATCTTGTTTTTAATAGGGGTATGATACCACATTTCAGCTGAAAAGGCTTGCAAAATTTTCAGTGTGACAAGTGCAGACTCGTTGATCACTGTAAGCACACACAGTGTGCTAAAAAATAGTTTTTTTAATGTTTCCTTTAGAAGAATCTGTATTTGAAGAAAAACAGCATTAGCTTACTGTTTTTTCAAAGGAAAAAACTCTTTTTCACTCTTCTATCTTGGCCCAGTATTATTTACTTCACCCATCAATGACATGAAGGGGCAGAGGCCTGCTCAGCAATTTCACTGACAACACAAAGCTGGGAGGAGTGGCCCATACCCCAGAGGGCTCTGCAGCCCTTCAGAAGGGCCTCAACACCTGGAGAGATGGGCAGAGAGGAACCTTCTCAAATTCAGCAAAGACAAAGGCAGGGTCCTGCACCCGGGGAGGAACAGCCCCAGGCACCAGCACAGGCTGGGGGTGACCTGCTCCAGGAAGCAGCTCTGTGGAGAAGGAGCTGGGGACCCTGGACAAGTTCTTCATTAGCCAGCAGTGTGTCCTGGGGGCCAAGAAGGCTGATGGAATCCTGGGGTGTATTACAAAGAGCAGGTTGAGGGAGGTGATCCCGCCCCTCTACTCAGTGGCTGTGTCCAGTTCTGAGTTCCTCAGTACAAGAGAGACATGGAGCTCCTGGACTGGGTCCAGCAAAGGGCTACTAAGTTGATCAAGACTGGAGCATCTCTCATATAAGGAAAGGCTGAGGGAGCTGGGCCCATTCGGCCTTGAAAAGTGGCAACTGAGAGGGGACCTGATGAATACATATAAATATGTAATGGGTGGTTGTCAATAGGATGGACCAGGCTCTGTTCAGTGGTGCCCAGCAATAGCAGGAGAGGCAATGGACAGAAACCGATGCACAGGAAGTTCCACCCGAATAAAAGGAAGAGCTCCTTCACTGTGCAGGTGACTGAGCACTGGGAGAGATTGCCTGAAGAGGCTGTGGAGTCTCCCTCACTGTAGATATCAAGAACAACCTGGACACAATCCTGTGCCATGTGCTCTGGGATGGCCCTGCTTGAGCAGGGAGATTGGAGCACGTAACACACTGTGGTCCCTTCCAACCTGACCCATTCTGAGATTCTGTGATCTATTACACATATTGTAATTTTAAACCCAGAAATTATGCAATTACCTATGCCAGTTTCATTTTATAAATTAACACACAACATTTTTATTAATAGCAGACATTACCTGGGAAGTTTTCACACAATACTTCTATAGGAGTTGCTCGTTTAGTGTCTCCAATTTTCTGGTAACGTTCTTTTAATGTATCTGCCTACGACAGAAGAACAAACAAGCTTCTGAAGTTATACAGCTTGCAGACACACATTCAAAAAAATCCCAAACATGTCAATAAAAGTTGATGACCTGAAAATAGGACAGAGGAAGATATCAAAACCCACTACCTTTAAACCTTGCCATGGAAGACTTCCTCTGAGAAAATACATAAACATATGACCCAAAGCTTCCAAGTCATCTCTTCTACTTTGCTCTGAAACAAAACACAAATATTATTAAAAACTTCTGTGTATTTTTACATTATATTTAAAAGACTAGCTGCCAGATTATATAAAAATAATTATTACATACAAAGCACTTGAAATGAAACCGAGCATGTGGGGGCATTCTTGCGTACTACAGACTGCTTAAGATCACAGCTAAACCCAGAAAAAAAGCAGATACAGACTTCAGGTATATTCGTCTCAACATTTTAAGCAAATTATCTTGCTGAGAGAAATAATTCTCATTCTAAAATATATTTGACCTTAAAACTACATTTTAATTCCAACATTTTTTTAATCTATTATTTGTGAATTTAAAACAATTTAAGAAAGGTTCAATAGAACTAGTTTTTCCTCAACAAAATCATGGAGAAGACAACTTTTTCCTCAGGGACCCATCACGGAATTTCTGAGTAAGTCATAGGTAGATCGAAGAAGGCTCAGAAGTACTATTATTTGGACAGAAATCAGAATGTACATACAGCCTACTATCAGGTCTAGCTGACAAATGAGCTTTCACAGAACACAATGCTCAATGCACAATTTTACATCTGCAGTAAAGCAGTGGCAGTCCTTCAAAAAATTCAGAGAAGGCTAAAGAAAAAGGAAAGGAACAAGGAAAACACAGAGTTTTCAAAGTACATTTCACATAGTTTTAAAATTAAATCAGTCATTTTTGGGAAAATTGAAGGTAATAGGGAATAGTGAGTCTTTGAATTACTAGCGGAAAACAGAGATCATTTCCATCTGACTTAATTCTGAATTTCTGTTGAAAGAAGTTATACATTGTATTACATATTGCAGTAAGAAGTAGCATTTAATTCTAAATTTGACTTTCTGCCTGACACAAGGACGAAAAACAAAATACTAACAGTTTCTACTCAGTATTTCACAGAACCAGGCCACTAGGCTTAACAAGAGGAAGGGAGAAGGAAGGTAAATTAAAAAAAGTTTGATTTTTCAAACACAGCAAAGTCAACACATCCAACCTGGCTCTGATCTGATCAACACATAATATTGCCATAAATATATCGTATCTGAAGAACAATTTTTAATTTTCATGAAAATAGAACAATGTACTTACTACTCTGTTTTCCAGTCCTATCTTCTCATTCGAACACTGAATAAACACATATTATCAAACACGTAAGAAAATACCAAAAAAAGGATAGTGGTAACATGTAGGCTACATCTAGCCCCTCACATCATCACTAATCTGCCAGCTATATAAGCCTCTTTCAGTCATTTCTGCTTCGCCCATTTCCATGTTTCCAAGTCCCTTGCCATCACTCTTCTTGTTTGTGTTCACTTCTCCATGCTTGTTCTCCACTGCTGCCACTTGTCTCAGTGAGGGCCATCCAAACAATAAGGTCCTATTTGAATTTCTATGCCAACCCTACAACTTCCCACCTGCTGACCACATGCTACACTGATACAACCTCATAGGTTAGGAAGAAAGCAGGAGTAAGCTGCAGGGTTCTATGCCTGACAGGTTTCAGTATGTGAAAGCAACGTTATGTCCCAGATGGTGCTGGCAGAAATCCTATGCTCTTTATGTGGTTGGGTGAGCATGCAGAAAATCACTACTTCAGGGACACTGCTCCTGACAAACACCTTGCGCAATGCAAGACAGTGGCAAAGCATACAGGAATGGTGTAAGTGTGCAACGCATGGTCCATCTATGAGCAACACCAGGGTACGGCCCACAAAAATGCACTGGAAAGCTCCATTTGGTCTTAGCTAAGGGACAGTAATTCCACTCTTTCAATTAATTTCTGCAAGTTATGACAATGAAAAATTAACCCTTTCTCCTTTAAAAAAAAGCAATAGCATCTTATTGAGACAGACAATTGCTCCTTTGCAGCATCTATTTATGATATTTTTAATCTTTATTATTTCAAATTAAGGTGTTTTGTGGTATTATTTTGCTGAGTTTTTTGCTTGGTTGTTTTTGAGTTTTTTATGAGATCTGGACTGCTGGCTATATTTCTGTAGCACAACAGAAACTTCTCTGGGAACAAGGATATAACATTTAAATTCACAATGTCCTCAAAAAGAAGCTATGGGAAAGGATTTTGTGTTTAATTTGGGTGACAGGGATTGTTACTTAGAATCCATGCAAGAATTCACTCAAGATCAGCCTGAAGTAATTAAAAAACAGTAGTCAAATACCCTTTCCTATGGAAATCTTCAAGATGAGCTTGAGAAACATGAAACCCAAAGACTGTATTAGTATTATTCAAAAAACGACATCCAAAAACTGGAAAAATATAGCAGTGGACCAGCTGGAAGACAAAAGGATTTCAAGCACCAGCTGGAAGAAGGGCCACTGATGTATACGGATCATATTGTATCACATTTTAATGAGATTGAGAGGATATGCTGCCTAAAAGAAAATACAATCATAATAAATACACAAAGCTTTAGGGCACATGGTTTCTTTTCTCTCAATGAGATTATCTGAAGCAGCTCAATTCATAAGAAACTAATATTTTTTATTTAGCTCATAAACTACAGACAATTATGTCTATTCAAATAGGCTGTTTTAAATAAAAAATAGAGCTTCATTCAGCAGGCTATCCCCAGAAATTTTATTTTTTTAGCATAAACAATTAACTAACCATAACACAGTTTAAACAACAGAAGCATCCAGCTCCCTAAAGGAAATTTAGGAATGCTGTAGAAGTAGAAAGATTATCTGTTTGGATCAGAAGACACTATACTTCTATACTTCTCATTATTAGTTGCTGAGAAGGTGACCTGGTTAAATATGGAGATGGGAAGTGATTACCTAGCTCAAACCATCAGTTCCTAAAGTTTAGCACAAATAAATTTGAAACCCATAGTCTTTAGCCTTACTAAAAATGACTGGATTTCATTTAATAATATGAGGGAAGAGAACCTTTTTTCCTGAACAAAACCATGAATCTTGAAGTTAATGGTTCTGGTTCATAAAAACTAAGTTGCACGCCAATTTTATCATAAGCACACACTGTATGCCATACTGTTGTCTTAAGAAAAATATAGACTGAAAGTAAAAAACCCCTTATTTGCACTTATACTTTTAATTAAGGGTGCAAAGACTTATTTGTTGTTTTTATTAGGGTAAACTAATGTAAAATAGAGGCACAGTTTCATGTAACTGTGCATTTAGAAGGTTAACTTACACCAGGAAAAAGATTTATCTAAGACAGGTAAAATTCTGTCCTGAAGTCCAGTGATAATTCATTATTATCAGAAGGAACACACCAAACTTCCCAGAGGGGAGCCCAGGTCTGGGACAGACTTCATCCTGCACCACTGGCTCAGTGGCAAGTAAAAGTTGCTGTGTCTCCTGTAGAGCCATCACCACAAACAAAAAAACTACTACAAATGCAGAAGGTTGTTTTTTTTTTGCTACTGGAAAAACTTCAGGATTTAGACTAATAAAATTTCAAGACCAAATGCTTATTGTTCTTGCCATAAGCAGTTAATTAAAATTGGTCAAGTGTAGAATAATTTGTGGATGGTTTAGGTTACAAAGGAATCTGGCCCCTCCAAAACTGATTCTCAATCTAGAACTTTTGAGAGCTCTGCCAAGAGAGTACATGTACTAAAAGGTAAGAATGGGGTTCTCCTAGTTTTGTTTGAGGATAAGTAATTGTTTAAAGAAATTGGCTTCATTTAGCCTTTCTGTTCATTTTAAGAGCAGACTTGCTTCATTCCCAGTAGAGTTCCAAGTAGTCTTTGTTTGAAAACTAACCTCTACCTCTGCAATAATTAAGCACTATCAAGAAAAGACCAATACAATCAAGGATATGGGTAGTTCTCCAGAGACCGTTACAGATGGCTGGGCTAGAGGAAGTCCTGACTCCATGTGACTATACTTTCTGTAGCCAAATAACTTAGACAACATTTTAACACGCTGTTCTTCTGAATTTAGGGAGATCCCAAAATAATTACCAATTTACACATCCATCAAACACAGAAAATTGCAGGACTTCTACAGACACAGACTTTTGTCTTCATTAACATCCCAATCAGAGTCTACACTCTCTGGAATCTCACTTTCCCTTCCTGAAAATTAAGTGAACTGGAGAAGAAGCACCAAGTAATTTTATCCCTAAGAGAAATTATCTTACAGAAAACTACATGCTAGTAAGGGGTGCAGAGTATTTTTATTTCCTTCAGATAGCTTTCTGAGTAAAGCCACATTATTCTTCACATAAACAAAATACCTTCTATTCCATTTACAAATTCCCAGCTTGATACAAAACTACCAGAAATCCTTGATCAAATGTCTCTTCTGCAACAAATGATTATTGGCTACAGGATTTTCAGAAACTACGTATTTCCTATATGCACCTTAAAAGAGTGGGCTTTGGTGATTTTTCAGAAAGTTCTGATTATACATTTTAAGTCTTTCTAGTACCAGTGTGTTTGTTATGATAATTTTAAATACTTATGAATCCTAAAACATACTTTTGATTCAAGGACATCGTTCCTTACTCATGCACACTAACAGATGAAGTTACAGTTCAATAAAGATGTATTCAAAAGTAACTTATAAGAGAAAGCGAACCTGACAGTCTCCCTCTTTACTGAAAACACTTATTTTTATACAAGGGTCAGTTGTCAGACTATTCAAGCAGCTCAGGAAATTATCTACAGACTGAAAATACCACTCTAAAATATTGTCTTATTACCACTATTTTCAGAGAAAACTGTATCCTATATGCCACTGTCCCTGTAAACACAGAGCTTGACAACCTTCAGTGTTCCATATGTCTCAGTGTATGGATTTAAAAATATACTAATTTTTTTGAGGCATATCACAGAACATAAAAAAACTGTTGGAATGGAATGATTCAGGGTCTTTAGGAAGGAGAGGCAACGAAGATCAGGAGGCAACGTCACCCTCCATGGCAATAACCAGCTGAGTGCATGGAGTTTTGCCTGGGGATGGGGGGAGGAGCTGAACGAGAGCTATTGGGAAGAATTAATGGAAGAG